TATATAAAATGAAGTGACTAAAAAACAATTAAAGCACTTATTTTCATAGAGTCTGGATTTTAGAAATGTCTTTCATGACATTTTTGAAGATAAGAAGAGGCTGTCTGGGAGTATAAATGGCTCACTGGACCACACATGGTATTAGTGTCAACCAGAGAAAAATGTCTCTGATGTGATACTGTTATGCTATGGGACTCAGTGTTTTATATGTTTATGGAAATATTTTTATTAATGATTTGGGTGTTGTCATAAAAGATATACTTACCAAATATGTGGATGGTGTAAATTTTGAGGGATCTTTAGTATATGTATGTACAGAGTAGGGATTCACAGACTAAAATAGTGTGGAATACTTAAGCAACAAAAATATATTCAACAGAAATAGTTGTAAAATATTTCACCTAGCTGTACAGAAAAACATCTTCATATCTACAAAATGGAAGACCCTTGGATTCACAGCAGTCTTTATGAAAGTATTGGAGATTTTAGTTAATTATAAAGTTTCTATCAGAACTATCAGAATAATCATTATGCTTTTATGAATAATAGTATGATGTGATGTCTAGATAGACATCACAAGTGGTCTAGATGTCCACTTCTTTGATATTCAGAGCAAATAGTGGGGCGAGGGCTGTATGAACTTCTGAGCATGTCATTTTGAGATGGAAATTCATAAATTAGGAATTTCTAAACTAGCATGGAAAGGGTGAGATTAGAAAACCCTACCAAATGGAAAATCATTGAAAGAATTAGAAATATTTGTCCTATAAAGGAGAAGATGTAAGAAATATATACAGCTATCTTCTAAAATGTGAAGGTTTGTATACACAAGAGGGGTTAGACTTACTTGGCATAGCTTCAAAGGGCAGTGGGTGGAAATTACATGAGAGAAGTTTGATTCAATATAAAGAAGACTTTTCAAACAAGTAGAGCTGTCCCAAGATGAAATAAACTGTTTCATGAGGTGATGAGTTTGCTATCACTGAAGATGTTCAAGATTTTCTTGAATGATGACCCAATCAAGGATGGTATAGAAGTGATTTTACCTGTATTGGATAAAAAGTTAAACCAATATCCTGGTAATATTACTTTGGTTTCAGAGGACTGGCATTATGTCAAATAATTATTGAGGCCTACTATATGCAAAGTTTTAAATGCTGTAGTATATATTTAACAATCCCTGTCCTTGAGGAATTTATAATATGAGGGGAGACAGATAATACACAAACAGATAAATGAGATAATTTTAGATTTTGATAGAACAATCAGGGAAGGCCTCTTTAAAGAGATTTATCTATGAGACTAAATGTTAAGAAGCCAAGCAGCTGACGAGCCAAGGGAGTGTACTCTGGGTGTGGGACATGGCTGCAAAGGCAGTGAATGAGACTGATATGTTTTGAGAATAAAACGAATGCTTGTGTTGATAGAAATTAATGAGAGGAGTAACACCAGAGGAATGAAGTTGGAAATGTAGGTGGGGATCAGATAATAAAGGGCCAAATAAGGAGTTTAGATTTTATCTAGATGCTGTGGAATACAATTAAAGGATAAATAGGGTTTTGACGTGATTTGTATTTTTAAAAGATGTTGTTGCTTCCGTATAGAGAATAGTTTTTTGGGGTGGAGAAATTAGATCACAGAAGAAACTTGGATGATAAAAATAGCAATAAAATAAATGGGAACCGTAAGGATATATTTTTGGAGGTAGAAGTAATAGGTCTTGATGATTTGAATACGTCAGCAGCACTTAACATAATCATTTCTTGAAACACCTTCAAGACAAGTGTTTCTCCTGTTTTCCTCTTACCTCTTTGGTTCTTACTTCATCATTTTCTTTTTTTCTGACTTCTTCTCATCTCCCCCAGTTCTGAATATTGGAATGCTTCCAGGCTCAGTCCTCTTTTTATCCATCACCATTTTTCAGTCTCATGGCATTAAATGCTGTCTGTTAGCGGATGACTCAAATTCATATCTCCAGTCTAGACTGCTTTTAAAACACCTATCTACCTGACAGCTCCATTTTAATGTCCATGTCTAAAATGAGCTCCTGATCTTCCTCCGAACCCCCAAACTGCCCCATCTCAGCAAATGGCAATGGTATTCTTTCAGTTGCTCAGACCAAAAACTTTGGAGTTATTCTTGACTATTTTTTTCCACACCTTATATCCAAACTAATAGTGCCTCATAGCCAAACTAATAGGAAATCTTGGCAAGGCTCAGTGGCTCAGGCCTGTAATCCTGGCACTCTGGGAGGCCCAGGCAGCAGGATCACTTGAGCTCAGGAGTTGAAGACTGAGACCAGCCTGAGCAAAAGCGAGACTCCGTCTCCACTAAAAAAAAAAAAATCAGCTGGGTGTGGTGATGCGTGCTTGTAGTCTCATTATTCTGGAGGCTGAGGCAGGAGGATCGCTTGAGCCCAGGAGTTTGAGGTTGCTGTGAGCTAGGCCGACGCCATGATGCTCTAACCTGGGTCACAGAGTGAGACTCTGTCTCATAAAAAGGGAAAAAAGCAAATCTTGTCAACCTCCTACAACTCTCCCTCTCCCTCTGCTTCAGTCTTACTATCCTCCTTACCATTCTCACACAAACCAGTCCTAGAGCTTTGGTACTTGCTATTTCCTCTGTTGGAAATCCTCTTTTGCATGTAGTACATGACTTATTTCCTCAAGTCTTTTAGGCCTTGCTGAAATATCACCTCTCAGTAAGGCCGACTTTGGTCACTCTATCTAGAACTGCAACTCCTCTCACCTCTCTGACCCTTTCCAGTTTTATTTCTCTTAGCATTTTTCACTATTTAATATACTATATTCTTACATATCTTAATATACTGTCTACTTTCTCCTCCCAATATAAACTTCATGAGGATAAGGGTCTTTATTCATTCGGTTATTATCGGCAACTTGATGAGTCTCATATTTACTTGAGTTCTCATATTGAGTTCTTGGTATCGTATGTTTACTTGAGCTGTTACTATGCACCAGGCACTGTTCTAAGTGTGTTGCTTATTCTGGTGAGAACTTTGAATTAAGTATTGTCATGATCTCTATTTTATAGATAATGAAATTAAGATCAAAGTTTAAGTAATTTAACCAAGATGTTAGCTAGGGATAGAGTTGGGATTCAGATTCTGGCAGTCTGGTTTGAAGGATTCAACTCTTTACTATGCTATAAAGCTTTTTCAGTGGTGTCAGATGCTACAGAGAGATCATCTAGGGTCAGTTCTGAAAAGAGGCAATTAAGTCAGTGAAATGGTTGAGAAAGGAGCCATATCACAAGGGATAAGACCCTGAAATCTGTTTTTGACAGAAAAAGTCTTTTATAGATATTGAAAGTTTATGCAGAAACATTTGCTGTATAAATGCATTATTGAGCATTTTAAGAACTGGTTAGAAACAAATTTAAGAGCAAGTTTTTGTTGCCTGTAATATAGTGTTCTGCTATTTAATTTACATATTTGAAATATTTAATTCAAATAGCTGGTAGTCTTTTTGTTCTTACTGATTTGCTATAGTGAAAGTGCAAAAAAATTCAGTCAATGCACTGTATGCAAATAAGACTTCTAAGGTCTTATTTGGGGTGTTGGCTCATGCCTGTAATCCTTGTGTTTTGGGAGGCAGGAGAATAGCTTAAGGCCAGGAGTTAGAGACCAGCCTCGGCAACACAGTGAGACCTCATCACCACCACCAACAACAACAAAAAATTAGCCAGGTGTGGTA